GCTGAACACAGGGAGCTGACAGCTCTTCTCCAGGTAAGCACCAATGCTTAGACATCAGTTCTATTCATTCCAGTAATGACCCACCTAAACAAGATTGGTCTAACGGTGAGGCCACGACTCGGGGAACCTTAACGTAAAAACTTCATAAACGACTTCATCTTCTGGCTATTGTAAAACAGACCTGTAGGCCTCGAGTTTTATGACATTTACATCCAAGGGGAAAAAAAAAAAGGAACTACAGACCAGTGTATTGACCTCAACCAAGTGAATTTCTAATAAAATGACATAATCGAACATTTTCTCCTGATTTTATTTTACATAACAATGAGTTATTTGAAAAAGAAAGAAAACTTCATCTATAATTCCACTGCCTAAAACCACATACGTCTTTTCTTTTCTTTATTCAACATTCCCTTCAAATCCCTATCTGAGCACAAATAGAATTTGTGAGACAGATATGACCCAGACTCCGTTTCTCACTTAATTTAGAGAAAGGTTTTTCCAGCTAAGTCCTATTTAGAGCCATAGTGTTCCTCGGAAATGCCTCAGGAGCTGATGCACACAGGAACCCTGCCCATAGTTGAAGGCTTCAATTTCCCACCCCCCATTTTCCTCTCACTCTCCCCAGTTCAATCAGAACACTTACAGTAAGTTTCAGATTCTCAGGTTCTGCGGGACGTTTTACTTGAAAACAAAACAAAACAAAACAGGTTTTAGTATTACTAACCATTTAGAAACTAAGAATGCATCAAGTCATAGAATCTTAGAGCTAGCTAGCAAAAAACTTAGAAGCCTTAAACCAGTAGGTGGCATGGAAGTTGAGGCGGCTGCATGCCATTTGGCTGAGTTTGAGTCCCAGAACCAGCAGTTTGAAAATCACACCAGGTGCATGTGTGTGCATACATGCCCAAAATCCCGAGAGGATAAGTTAGACTTGTGGCACTCCCCTCTGAGAAGTGATTTCTCTCTTGCTCCCTCTTTGTCTAGCAAGTACGTTCATCCTATAACAAACTGAAAAATAATAATAATAAAATAGAAAGCCGGTGCTTTTATTTTACAGATGCTAGGGGGAAAAAAAATCCAAAGAGAAGAAAGAAAGAAAAAGGAAAAAAATTTTTTAAAAAAAGGGAAGAAAGACTTGCCCAGGCTCACACAGGCAATTAGGAATGAGAATTAGATCCCAGGTCTCTGTCCCCAGCACAAAGGCCCTCTTTTTTTTTTTTTTTGGAGAGGTTTTTGCTATAGGGTGTGTACACTCGCCAGAAAGACAGAGAGAGACAGAGAGATAGAAAACGAGAAATCACCCCCCAGGGGGGATGGCCACGCTGCAATCCCCTCTCCATTCTCCTCTCGGGATCTTGGGCATGCACTCACATGCGCCCGGCGTGAGTTTAAGCCACTGGGTCCAGGACTCAAATCACAGTTGACTACATGGGAGTCCAGTGACATAGCCATTACGTCAACGGCTGCTAATAGGCCCTATTCCTAATTTGGGAACTATTCATTCACTCATTCAATAAATTTTATTAAATGTGAACAGGGGCTAAGCACTGAGAAATCAAAAGAAACAAACAAAACAATTCAGCCCTGCCCTTACAGTGCCGACAGTTCAGCAGAAGAAGACGAATAAGAAACACTAGGATGAGTGACGTGTACAATACATTAGAAGGCAGTGTAGCAAGGAAAGGGGGAGGGACCAAGGCCAGGGAGTGGTTAAAGGTTGTAGTTGGTGAATTTCCTCCAAGGCCACTGCCTTCAGGTCTTTATATACCTAATATATAATATGTGTGGGTGTTTTATAACTCTTACTAGTTCACTATTCAGAAGAGAAAATAATCTAACAGTAAGTCTGTCTGAAATTTCTCAGGACTCGATTTTTCTTAAATGGCATGCAAAGCGAGTCTGTGTAACAAGCAGGACGTTAAAACCATTCAGTAAAACATTGAACAGTAGCCTAGAAGCACACGTGAGCGCGGTATTAATTATTGCACTTGATTCTAGAAGACGCCAGGAATGTACTGAAAGAGACTTAGAAGTGAGGAGACCTGGCTGCCAGGCTTATGTTGCCGGGCGATAATGGATAAGATTACGTTCTCTGAGTCTCTGAATCTCAGTTTCCTTATCTATAAAGTAAAGGGGGCAGGGCAGATATTCTCTGAGGTTCCACGCTATCATTCAAATATCAAAGCCCTCTAATGTGCCAACAGCATTATATAATATCTTAGCAGTCGTATCAGCATTATTATTTCAATCTCAAGAAACTCTAATAATAACACATTACATTTATAGAGCTCTGCAGTACTCAATGTATTTTCACAAGCATTATTCTCATCCGACAAACGAGAGGACTGCACGTGTTCATCTTCTGTTAAGGAAGGCCGGCCCCTCAGTTACACCAAGGTAGCACAAACCTGGAAACAACCTATATTTGCAAAAATAATCACATAAATTGTGGTATATCCAAATAATGGGATATTATTTCTTAAATGATAAATAATTATTTTAAGCCCATCCATAACACTGGGACTACATATGAGGCTCATTGTTCAATTGTGGATGGACATGGTAGAGTGCACCTGAATGCCAGTGACTCGGGGAGGCTGGCCTAGACAGCACGACAAGACCCTGTTTTTGCCAGAGAGTCTTGTACTGGACTCCCACGTGGGTGAGCGTGGTTCGAGTCCTGGACCTGGAAGCTTGCTCATGCTCTCTCTCTTTCTCTGTGTCGCTCTTTGGTGACACACATGCAAACAATAATAATAATAATAATAATAATAATAATAAAGTTAATAAGATAGGCATACTCACACACACCTGTTATTCTAGCCAGGTCGCTGAGGGAGGGCTCCCTGTCTTTAACAACGACGACAAAGTCATTATTTTAAAGAACGATTAAATAATGCAAAGGAAATGTTCCTAATGTAATTGTAGGTGGAAAATCTGGATATAAGACAAACATATTATATACAGTACCTCATATGACTTTAAAAAATAAATAA